GCAAACCTTGGGGAAGCCGGCTGTGACATCCAGGAGGGATGAAGCATCCCGTCGGCCAGCCTGTGCCGACCGGTAATTTAGCGGCGAGCGAGGTCTCCTCCCTGGAGCCCTGTCCTGATCCACCCGGCGCTTCAGGAAGGTACCGGAGCAGAGTCACCAAAAAAGTTGTGGAGCATTTCAGACTCTGTCCCCTATGGCTTTCAAAGGGGGAAATCAAAGGGAAGCGCCGCGCTTTGTTCCGCGGGGGAGCGGCACGAAAGGTGAGCGGCGGCGAGCCCGGCAGAACCGGTCGCTTCAATCGTCCGCCAGCTCACCTTTGAAGTGGTTTTAAAAATCAGGGAGGAGGGGCAGAGACCCGAGTTCAGCTCTTTTACTGCAACTTCACAGAATTTGAGGATGTGGGGGGTAGAGACTGTCTTTCCCCCACCAGAAAAATAGCGTATCTGCTCAGAGAGAATAGAATATGGCTAATAAAAAAGGCTGCGATACTCATCAAGTACCTCTGTTGTGTCCTCACGTCCTGGCGAGGCTACGAACAGCTACAACGGCAGCAGCATCTACCTACGGCACTGACAGAGACCCAGCCAGGCACCCGCAGGATTAACCGGGCACCCCGAAACAGCCCCCGGTCCGGTGCTGATGCAGCGACCGACTCTCACCAGTCCACAGCCTCCCCTCTGCCTTGCATTACCTCTCCCTCTGCTCGCCCGCACTTTCCCCACAGCCTCTCTGGAACAGAAAGGTCTGGTTTTAACCCCAGCCCACGCAAATCCTGGGAGCTCTTTCTATATTATAGTCACAGCACCAGCCACTTGCTGCAGCGCGGGGAATCGAAGCAGCACCAACACAGCGGGAACGGCACCGTGCGAGGATAAGCCGGGTGCCTACTGCACACCCTGTACCGGGAAGATGGCAAAAAGTACCAATTACTTAATTGGAAATCGATCTCCATTCTACCACAGGAAAAAAATAACAATAATAATAAAAAATATATATAAAAAAGAACACAGCTGATTGGCATGACCAGTATTTACAAGCAGAGTCCTCCCAAGCCCAGACAAACACCACTTCTAGACAAACACCATCAGATGGGCAAAGCCAAGACAAGAGGCAATGCCCTCCTATCACCACAGACAAGCTGATGTCACTCCGTACAAATTCAAAGCTTTCAGGGGCTGTGGAATACAAGAGCCATTCGAGCCAGACTTGAATAAAAACTCTGAGTCAGAAGCCAAGTTCTAGAGCTCCCCTATCTTCAGGGGAGAGAGTGAGCTCGAATCCAACATCTTTCAGAAACAGGAGGAAATCTAGTTTTTCTCTGGCTTGCCAAGGAGACCCCGCACAGCACGTTCACGTGCACACATGAAGCCGTAAGCCGAAGACTTCTATGAACACCTCACGCACACACACACCCCGCCCCGGGTCTGACACCCTGAGAAGCAACTGAGCACACTTGCAGTTACGCCTCGAATCTTAAATGTCTTTTCCCTCTTGATTTGCAAACAAGTCTTAACCTAAAATGCCAGGAGACTGGAACCAGCAAGGAAAGAGAACTGCGCTCGCCCCTCAATCCCAACTCACATCCTTACAGAGCTTCCCTGGAGTTTTTGGGGCTACGAAGCTTGTGGGAGTAGGTAAGACCGGTTTTCAGTAAAACTATCATATCAATTGGCTTCCGTGCAGATAACGCTCACCTGAACAGAGCTGGCTTTGAAGAATCCAGGCGTCCTGAGCCAAGACACCTCCAGCTTGTTGCTTCTCTTTGTTTTCAGCTCCGTTCATGATGCAGACGGAGACACTGGCTGCTTTGACCTTCTGCACGTGTCAGCAGGTTCTCCTCTGACTTCTGCTTCACCTTCCAAAGCTAAAGGGGGACCAAAAATGAGACGGCTTTAGGAGACAAGTGTGAGCTGCTGGCTAAACCGCAGGGCATAAGGAATCGGCAGCCTTGGACAAATTGGCTCTATCGGAAATGAAGGTCCCTCTCCCCTGGAAAGGCAGGGGTGGCGCGACAGAGCTCAGGGGTCACGACGCTTTCACCCAGAACATACAGTACACAAGCCCATGAGATTGGGATTCAGCAACTGAATGGCCAAAGGCAAAATTAAGGCCTTTTAGCCTTTTCCTAGACTTAAGGGAATCGTCTGTGCTTGCAACCATATATATTTCAAACATTCTTAGGCTTTGAGCTGGAAACCAACACTTCTGCTCCCAGTTTTGCCAGCTTCATTGCACGGGCTGGGCAGTACACAGGGCTCATTTCCCTGCTTCACCCGTTTCTCCGATAGCAGCGCCTCAAACCTCTACCGGTAAGAGGTAAACGTTATCACATGGGGGAATGCTTTCCGTCCCTGCAACGGAGGCAGGAAATATTAGCAACCTCTTTTCACATCTTTCTTTTGGAGAGGGTCTAAGTACAACTGTTCAGGGCTTCTCTGGGGGAGCACTGTGTTATATCATGTTTTACCCTATCCCTCCCCTTCCCTCGTGTCACTTACCAGTTCCACAGACGGGCGCAGCCTTCCCCGAGGACGCAGAAACCTGGGGGAAGATGGGAGAAGGGCACCTTTAATCAGCTGCAGGCAGGTGCCGCCAGCAGCCCGGGAAGGTCTGCAGCTGTTTCTCATCCCCTTCGTTGCTCTGCGGCGGCTTTGCCCGGATGGTCCCCACCTAACCCCAGGGGGGCACCAGCCCTGAACCAGCCCCAGGTGAATTCGGTCCCTCTCTGCAAACCGCCATCTCCCACGGCCTCTTGCGGCCGAGCCACGTGCTCCGATTGTCCTCTGCCCGGCTGCTCTTCCCAGGATGGCTCCTACGAAGTGGCACAGAGAACGGTGCCCTTCCCAGGGACAAGTCCATCCCCAAATATTCTGCTGTCTGTCTTTCTTTTTTCCCCCCCACAAGGGTGCCCCACGCATTGCCCCGCTTGCTTTTCCAAAGCCGCGCCTGGCTGAAGGGCAAGCGGGTCAAGACGCTTCATCCCCACGCAGGGTCTGGCCATCGCAGGGCTGCTTTCACCCCCACAAAATACTTACGCGGTTCTAAGATGGTTAACATAGCTGCATCCAGTCTAGCGCTCTAGCGAGCTTATTGTTGACGTACCAAAGGTTATGTGGGTAGGTGAGGCATCAGTTGAGGGTGCACGCGGATAATCGCAGGCTTAATGAATTACTATGCCTCAGCTGATGCACACCCCACTGTGCGAGAGTCCCGCTCCAGACAGAGAGGGGAAAGCAACGTCGTGGTGCGACAGGTCGAGTGATACGTGGTAAATTATTAAACTATAGTAGCTGGATTGTTTGCAACACATCTCAAGTCAAATACCAGGCTCCAGTTTCAGGAAGGGGAAAGGAGTTTGATTGGGGCGTGCTCTGACTTCTTTGAGGAAAGCAGCCGACAAGCAGGTCCTGCTCGCACCCGAGGAACCTGCCGGGGAGCACATCGTCTCCGCTGATGAATGAACTGTGTCACACAAGGGTGGAAAAAGCTACGCGACTGTAGTCTTCCGCATCAGGCAAAGGCCAGTCCGTACTGGCTTGATAGTTGTGAAATGCCCAACAGGTGCATACGGGACAAACTATCGTGCCTCCTTTTATTCAAGAGGCAAAACTGAGCAAGCCAGATCCTACTCTGCCCTTTCACAGTTACCTTTTCAAGAAAAGCTTGGTTCGGTGTTCAGCCTACTTTCTAAACAGCCTGTCTCAAAAGATGCAAAGGGTAAGGACAGCAAACGGTGCAGGAGCATTTGCCCCAAGCACCGTGCAGCCAGCCTGCACCGGGGAACAGCATCTTGCCTTTCTCCTTCATCACACAGAAAAAGACCCACGCAACTCAAAGCCAAACCTTTGGTGCAAAGCGCACGGAATTCACTTTTAAGCCGAGATTCTCCCAACATCCCGACGCTAACATTATGGCACAATCTTTGCCAGCAGTTGCCAAAACCAGCTTCTTTCTGTCCATCTCCCTGCTACAGACTGGCACCACGTCGCTGATGTACTCCTCCGCTACGAGCACAACCCACCTCCTCCTACAAAATGGTCAATGTATGTAGAGAGCCTGAAATCTGTTTGCCTGCTGGTACTGGGCCAGGGCTTGGATTTGATTCGTAGCTACTCTATTTCTACCCATGCCACCTCCCTCACCTATGCCCTGAGCAGAAGAGGGACGGTGAGTGGGCGAACGGGCTGCGGACGTATTACAACCACCCTTTAAAAGGACAAACCACACGGCTTCGTTCGTAATACCTGGGACAGATTAGGCGGGGGCCGTGTGGGAAAGATACGGTCGAAGAAACAAAGCCAATTCAGTAAGGCGCAGAACTCAGACTGTGTCTTCAAGGTGCACAAAAAGTTTCGAAGAGATACACCGCGAAAGCACAGCCGGTATCTGCTTCACCCAGCTCCTCTTCCCCGGTCGTGTCTTTTCCCCTCGGTGTCTTGCCTGGGCTGACCTCAAGCAGTTTCCAGTCTGGAAACCGGCCGCGTCCAGCAAAGCAGGGCAAGGGAGCTCCCCGGTCCCTGCAAACACAGCCTGAGCGCTCTGCGCATCCCGTGGAGATCCGTCCTGCTTCCAGAGACATTCGGGTTCTCAGACCAGGTTAGTCCACTGCAGAGCATAGGTAACACCAGGATTTTATCAGAAGCAGAAAAAAATAAGAAGTTAGCCTAACGAACACGGGAATGGCTCGTTTATTAAGGCTATGGCAAAGTAAGTGGGCAGAAAACCGAGCCTCTGTGGTGCCACCTACCTGATTCTCAATCAGCTCGCTGACTCCACCAGTGTGGACCATTTACTCACTGGAAGGGGCTTTAATAGCTATTTAGAAGTGTGAAGCAGAGACCAGCCTTTCACCCACCTGTGTGATACCCTTTAAAAAAAAAATAAAAATTAAATCAAGTCTCTTGGCACACAGAGCACTTTGAGCTCATGGGATTCTTTGTGCCGCCCTCACAGATCCCACTGTGCTCAGCACCCGGAGATTGCTTTGCCATACAAAGAAAATGTACTTGAGTTTTCAAAACAAGTCGTTTTGGGACAGCCTGCATTTAAAAAATGGCCTGCAGGACTGGGATATGGCAGAGGAGCTCAAACTCACCGTCACCACTGAAGGGTTTCCGCAAGGTAAGGGCCTCAGGGGGACCGATGGGTTTGGCTTCCCTTTAAATAGATTCCCGTCTCTAAAACTCAGGTGAAAATTGTAGAATCTGGTAAATAGTAAGTTCCAGTCTAGAACTGATGTGATCAGATCAAATTAGAAGCGTCTGCAATTACATATGAAGTACGTATGCAGCTTACAGAGGACGAGGCCAATGCAAAACAGCTGACCGCGGTGTCTCTGGGCTCCCCACCTCCAGCAGCGCCCACGCAGACCCCGCGCTGTCGCGTGCCGCAGTGGCACGCTGAGCCCCCAGCACACGGGTCCTCCCCACCAGGGGCACTGCCAGGGGCAAGTCTGGGACCTGGTCCTACCTATGGAGGCTGGTGGTGTTTCAGGGAACGGCCTGGGAAAGGGGCTTTTCTTTCGCCAGCCAGAACGTCTGTGTCCAGACCGGGATTTCTCTAAGGTTACTTAGGAAAAGTTGAAGCCTATCTCTAAACGACAAAGATATAATAACATAGCTGTGCCTGCAGACACACTTCCCTCCGAATGCGACCTTTTGGGTAGATAAACTTGGGAAAGGAGGACGGAAGGGAGTAATTCACGCTCTTCTGGCTTTGCGGGGGAAAGAGAAAGTACAATTCCAGAGCTGAGCACTGTTGTTCGGGCTGGCCACGGCGGTGGGAGAACACGCAGACGTGCACGCTGTACGCAAACCAGGAAATAAAACACTATGTAGAGGGATGAGAAGGCGACTGGGGACCTTCGCCTTGGGACCTGCATTGCGTTAGAGCTTACCCAGGCTGCCCCTGGACAGCAGGGTCTGGGAACGGTCCTCAGGTAGGATGGGCAGCGTGACATTTCTCCTTCTCCTTAGAAGCTGGCGTTCAGCCCCGTCTGTGGATGTGGGTAAACCCCAGCCTGGCCTGCCCCATCCCCGGGAGCCCCGGAGTAGACCCAGACGGATCCAACAGCCCGGTGGCCTCGGTTGCTGGTGCCACAGAAACCTCCTCTCCGAACGCATCCTGGGACGACTCTGACCCAGACGGTTCCAAGGAGAACGTGCTGCCATCCTCCAGCGAGGCCGGGAAGGTATAGAAAAGGGAACAGTGTGGGCAGTCTGAAGCATCGGATGCGCTTAACGATCCTGCAGGAACAAACGAGCTGGCTCTGCAGCTCCGCGACCAGCTGCCTCCCGTTTGAGCAGGAGTCAGTCAATGCATGGAGCCCATCCGACCAACAGGCTGGGAGTACAAAGTGCAGGGCAGGAGGCTAAAATTTAAAGTCTTTAAGCTTTCTGTACGCACTCGGCCAGGCCCACCCTCCCCTAGAACAAAGCAGCTTATCTCTGTCCCTTGTTCCACTCAGGGCTAATATATCCATGTCCTTTTTCTCCTTCCTCTCCCCGGTTTACTGAGGATGAAGACACTTTGCGTGTGGACATCCCAGTTCCTCAGGAGATGCTGGAAACTCCTGAACTGCAGCTGATGCCGATGCCTTGGAAACCTTCAGTCCTCAGACCTCAGAGCGTGAAGCTCAGGAGCCCCAGGCAGAGGAGCACTGAAATCAAGGGAGGCTGGCCCCGTCCCCCCCTTAATTACTGCATCCTCATCACCCTCGCCCTGGGCAACAGCGCAAGTGGCAGCCTGACCGTACAGCAGATCTACCAGTTCACACGGTACCTACTCCTCTCCCAGCACAAAATGAGGGGAAGAGGGACGAGGGGTACAGCAGCCTCTGATCTTCTACCGGGCAGCAGGGATGTGGCAGCCAGAACTTGCGTTCTGCTCTCAGCTCTGCCTTCAGCTCAAGATGCTGCCAAAAAACCTGCTTCCCCTCTTTGTCAACACCCAAACCCAGGAGTCTCGAGAGACAGCATTTTAGTTTTGTCTTACCCTCCTTAGAAAACCACACAGTGCTGAACTGCACCAGCCATCCTTACACCACAGGGGTCAGGGAGGACCCTCTCCTCCTTCCCTTGCTCGAACACGATGTATTCTGTTATTTATCACAGCCTCTAATTGCTTGAGCTCAAGACAAATCTTTTCTCTCCGCAGGCAGCACTTCCCATTTTTCCAAACGGCCCCAGAGGGCTGGAAAAGCACGATCCGACACAACCTGTGCTTCAGCAGCTGCTTTGAGAAAACCACGGGCTTCATGTGCGGCGAGGGAAACCGCAAGTCCTGCCTGTGGAAACTGACTCCAGAAGGGCGCAGAAGGTTTCAGGAAGAAGCACAGGCTCTGCCCAAAGAGGCCCTCGACTTGGTGCGCCAAAGCATGAGCGAACCGGGTACGTTTCAGAGGGCAGGAGCCCGGCAAAATGCAGAGCAAGTCAGACTGTACAAGATTCCCATGGTAGGAGGGATACAGGTGGGCACCCAAGCCGGTACGCGGTCACCAGCATGGGAGGACACTAGGTCTAGGAGGTGCTACCGGAGACTCAGAGATCCCTGTAGCAATACCCGCACAAGCCGGGCTCGGTCACCCGACCGGCCAAGAACCCTTCTTTAACAAAACCAACACAGCGAGAGAAACAAACCAGGCTACATCAAACCGCAGAGCCTCCACCTCCGTCTCGCGCTGCTCAGCAGTACGATACCCATCAGCTTAACATGGATAAGAACCGAGGCTGTAGCATCAGTGCCCCAGCAGTTGTTACGCTCCAAGTAACTGTCACAACTTCCTCTCTCTGTATCTTTTGCAGATGTCATGAGATCTCTGTTTGGCCTATGATTCCTTCTGGCTCCCTGCTTCTGAAACATGTACCGTGTCTTTCCAAACCAAGCTTGTTTTCTCGGGTGCTGCTGCAGGTAGCTTCCCAAGAACTGCGTGTGGAAATTATGAGCATCGCGACGTAAGGGCTCAAATTTCGGAGGGGGGGAGGAAGACGATGACCAATCTCATTTCCTTCACTAAGGCAAGTTTTCACTCCAGCTGCACACATCTGAAGTTGCAGAGGCATTTTGACATGTGGCACCCGCTATGACTTTAACACAAAGTCCTCCACCCAAGCTGTTGCCTCGTGCAACGTTCTTGTGGTGCAGAGCGTTCAGCTGCAGAAGGAGGTTGATCTGTTCCCTAACGAAGGGTCCCGGCCCACCAGTCAGAGGCTGAGCAGAGAAGGCTGAGTGAGAGGAGCCCCAACCATACCGGCATTATTCCAAGCTGTTGCTCTTGCCCGCCCAGCTGTAAGACCAGCTGGAGAGGATCCACATAACTGCTGGGCCGACTGCTTTGCAAGGTGCTTGGCATCTCTGCACTGCTCGCTCGGCAGAAATCCGCGAGCACTGCAGAGTGCGAGGAGGGAGAGAGTTATCTTGTGGAGGCAAGGATGCAACAAAGGAAAAAAACAACCAGTCGGGGCTTGCTGTTATGCTGTTGACTTACTTGCTTCTCCAGCAAGGGGCAGGAAACTCGGGTCCCCAGGCCAGAATGCAGGTGGGTAGCAGGTGACTACTGTTCAAGAAGAGTAGGTTTGTCACACCTTCTTCCTGGCTGCTGCGGCAGTTGCATGAGTAGCAGCATGATGGGTCCAGTTATGTCCATTACCAGTCCCGTGTGCGGCAGGAGGCAGGGCGCCCTGTCGACAGGGGACAAACAGCACACAGCCATGAGGCAACCTCTGGAGTCCACTGCTGGGTTGTATCCTAGACCCACGGGGCGAGAACGCCAGGGGACAGCCCATACCGATGCGCTCGGCAGGGCAGGCTGGGCGCACCCTGGGGACCAGTTCCTTTCACGCGAGAGTGTAAAAGAACAGGCGTGTTAAAAGTGAATCAATCCCCAGGCTCAAGTCTAACTGCAGGCACTTGGATAGGGTGGGTCTGGGCACTAACATCACCTGAGCCATGGCAGAAGTTGGAGGGAGGGACAGATGGCTGTCAGCCCCACACATGGCAGCACAGGCTGTCTGTCTGTCTGAGCAGGAACTGATCTACGGCCATCCGTCTTGGAAGGCCTGGCTGCACTGGATGGCAGCACTGAGATAACCTTCATGCTGCAGTTCTGATGCTCTCGTTCAATGACAGCAGACCACGAGCACCCTCTGCTCCTACTAAATGAAAAAAAAAAAACAACCCAAAACAAAAAAACAAACACAAAAAAACATTTAAGGTTTTGGTAGAGCTGTGGATGGGCAGGAAAACAAAGGCATCAGACCAAATCTAGTGGACAGACTGTGTGAAAAAGCACGTAGCTGGGAGGTCAGTGCGTTTCAGGGACGTATGACATGCCTCCAGAAAGCATTCATAATAATCACAGAATCATAGAATGGTTTAGGTTGAGAGGGACCTTAAAGACCATCTCGTTTCACCCCCTGCCCTGGGCAGGGACACCTCCCACCAGCCCAGGTTGCTCCAAGCCCCGTCCAACCTGGCCTTGAACACCTCCAGGGATGGGGCAGCCACAGCTTCTCGGGGCAACCTGCCCCAGGGGCTCACCACCTGCACAGGAGAGAA